CAGACTTGGGAACCATTGCATTATATACTCTTCTAAGCTTTTTTCCCATCAATTAATTAATTTCATGGAAATCTTAGCTCATCTCATAAATCAAAATACAGTGCATCTATCGCTCTTAGGGAATGTAGGTGACCTTTCTATGAACCGTAAAATATGTTCTCCAAATGTTTAAAGTTGCAGTGGTCCTTTAGAAAATGTCCTCGAGTTGGGACTCAAGGGTGCTTCTTTATGTTCAGAAAATTAGGGTGCATCCTTGGGGCTAATTTATCACCCAGAAATGTCTTGCTGCAAAACTTAATAGTTTTCTGCAGAGCTGAAGATTTCCTTACCTCTTGGTGGCTGAGGATGCCAGGGCTGCAGATGCTCAGGGCAAACCCCCCCCCCCAAAAAAAAAGAAAGAAAGAAAGAAGAAAAAATAAATAAAAGCAAAACAAACGAAAAAAAGCAAAGGAAGGGTACTTTGTGACATGTGAAGGTTATGCATATGATATTCAAATGTCAGTGTTCCTAAATGAAGTTTCATTGAAACACATCTGTACTCATTCATTTATGTGTTGTCTGTGGTGACTTTTACCTTGCAGGTCAGAGGTAGCCCACAACTTTTACAGAAAGTTTACTAACTTTTGCTTTGAAGTCTTTTTTGTGTCTTTTTGATATGGGAGCTCCACCAGCATTTTTTGTTAGCATTCACATCCTGTGTCCTTACGTGTTTGGTCTGTGTTTTGAAAACAGGTTTTACTTGCATTTTTCCTAATCTGGCCATATCTGCTTTTACCTGGCAAATTTACTCCACTTACATTTTCACTTTTACTGATATTCTTGGAATCATTTCTATGATCTTATTGTGTGTGTGTGTTTTGATTTGCCCTGCTTTGTCTAAGATGTTCTTTTTCTACTTTTATTTTGGATTTATTGAAGCCTTTATTATTTTTTAAAAATTTATTTTATTTTATTGATTTATTGAAGCCTTTAAATTCAATTTTTCCTCTATACCATTTTAGAACTTGTATGCTATTTTCATTATTTAAAAAGATCATGCATTTTTATACTATATAAACATACTTCTACTTGTATTAACTTACAAAGTTAATATCTCTACCTCAATTACTTTGAAACACTATCTCTAATCACTCCATCTTTGTATATTTTTATTTTTTGAAATTGTTTATTTTTATCCAATTAAAAAATTAAAATGAGCAACTGTTGGGAGCCGTCTCAGAGTAATGAGACTCTAGGCTGACTGCAGGTAGAAAATGGCAGATGGCTACAGACCCTCATGGTCTGTGTGCTAAAGAAAAGACTGCAAAACTGTTTGTTAGCTGAAAAGGGGGAACTGCTAAAACAAGTAACCCAGCAACACCCAGCTCATCTCCTGTGCCATGGAAAAGCAAAAGTTCCTAAACCATAACCACCAGATCCTCAGATGTCACTGTCTATGGCAGCGATTCTCAACCTTCCTAATGCCGCAACCCCTTAATACAGTTCCTCATGTTGTGGTGACCCCCAACCATAAAATTATTTTCGTTGCTACTCTATAACTGTAATTTTTCTACTGTTATGAAT